AAAACTTAAAAACCGTTTGTTTGTAAGTATAGTTTTGTGTACGTTTCGTAACAGTCTATACACAAATCAACAAAATATTATTTTAACACTTTTTTATTAACTTAAACAACTGTGTACATCGTTTGTGATTTTACGAATAATATTAATATGACACATAACTTACTGTCCGTAGTATAGTGAAAACATGACGTGTAAAAAACATTTGTTTAATCAAAACTTCCCAAAAATCTAATAGGTAATTTAAATTTTAAAATAATAAGTTCAGATACATGATTGTCTATAATAATTACAAAATATGGTTTTAAAAATTATGCAACTTATATAATGAGAAAAAAAACCAGTTTTTTGTATTTGTAGTAATAATTTGTTATATACCCACTGACTACGACAGCTACCTGATAACTAACCTGTTGCGAATCTCAACTTGGACCAGAATTTCTTGATTATTATTTTGAGAGCTAATGAAAGTTATAACAATAAACACGGTGAATTCATTAATCAGCTTTAAACATGGCCAAACGAATTATACATATAATATTATATTCATCTCGAGTTTATCCGTGGGACGAAGTAACTTGTTTAATTTATGACTGATTACAATACATTGTAATGGTGCATTGTATACCATTAAAGAAATTGTGCCTTGAAATACTTTCCAATATGAAAAATATCATAAATCAAGGGAAACTACGAAAAGTGATAAACAAATTCCCTGTAGTTAGTATTTATTACAAAAAAAAAAAACAGAAATTAGGTATATTTTTGCGCGAGCAGTTTTGTAATGTTTTTACAGGAAAAATGTTACGTTAATGTTGAATAAGAAATTCATATTCATTCTACACAAACAGTTTTAAATGCTTAATTACAAATTTGATATTAAAATAAAATTGTATTTACTATTTATTTCAAAACATTAATTCAATTGCGCATTGTTTTGAAAATGGGTTTAATATAGCAATGCCCCGTTAATATTAACACAGCATACGGGTAAATATGTCTGCGAATCGTTTAGCCGTAATGAAAAAAGGATAAAATGAAGTTATGTGGCGACTGAATGTTATTCTCTCCGAGTATAATAGATTTGGTAAAGCGCGGCGACAATAGCCGGCTGTCGAAGCTATAAAAACGAATATAACATTCCTCCGCCCTTCGTATTTGGCTATGTAGTTTTTATATACTGTTTTATACTTATGGCGTCCCGAATAGTATACAAAATAAGTACACAGTTGGTTTTATCTCCATTAGTGTTTGCTATTTAATAGTTGTATTTTAAGAATCTCATACACGTAACACGATCAATCTCGAATGACAGTTTTACGGACTGACAACATAAACTGACCATCCAAATCATTAAATGTTAAAATCTGCCAGTCAAAAAATTGGAAGCAATGGTTGGTATGTAATGTTTTAAAATATAAAGTATTTCTTAATAAATTAAATAATAAAGATTATTGGAGCAATTTTACACATTTTTTAGAGAAATTTACCAGTTGTGTGGATAGTGAGATTAATAAGATAGGATATCAAAGCAAGATGCATACGACTAATTAACTGAAAAATTTTAAATTACCGATCCAAACCAAAGCATATTATAATCTAACTACTCTCTTATACACTCTCTAATATGACTTATATAATTTGTATAATTGATATAACCAATAACTAAAAAATTGGAAATTTTTGATGGACCATTTACGGAAATCATCAATCTAACTGTGAATCTATAAATCAGTCATTTAAGATTGATCACGTATGGCGTATACCTTTAACGTATTTTAATTTTTATAGCCTCTATAAAAAAAAAATATGACTGATATCAATATGAATCTTATTAAATTAACAATGCCAGTAAGTGAATTTCGAGGGTAGAGGAGGCAATTTTGTTCACCACCCTCGTTGAGTGTACTACTGTAGTACATTTAGGAATTGTATGAGAAGGATAAGCTTAAAAGGAACGAGTTTGGTTTGGCGAGAGAACCAGCAGTCTCGTTACCATGAATTTTGAAATGTCCAGGGACCCAATGGAACTTCTCTGTCAGAAGCAGTTAATTGTAATAGTCAGTATAAAGGTATATTAGAGTTGAAAGGGTAGACAGATACGCGTGGCTATCAAAGGATGGCAAGTCTATAATGGGAAGACAATAACCTATTCTTTCAATTCATCACCAAAACAACAGTTCAAAAAAGGTTATCTATATTATTAGGTACTTATATATTTATAAGTTTCAGTTAGATTTTAGAAAATTAATTAAGATATACAAATAGCTAAAAGAGATTCAATTTTATAAATACATATAATCATTATATAAGAAGAGTCAAATAATACAATTATTATTCTCTTTTGGTTTTAAAACGTTAGCGCCGTTATGTATTTAAAATAGGAACATTATCATTGCCGAGAGTGTCTATTAAGAAAATACCAATAGGTTTTACTATAAGTAGCATAGGCCATAGATGATAATGTAATATACTATCTATAGTCTATACTCATCGGTTTTACTATACCTTTTCTTGCTGGTTTTCAAGAACCACAATTTAACAGTTATTTTATTATATACTTTAGCGTCGTGGTTTAATAGATTTCTGTAAACTAAACAAAGCACAGTATAAACCTAGTTTACTTTTTGAATGATAAAAAAAATCTATAGCATGGCACCATTTTGTTTTTTGTATCTTTTGCGGTTCAGGGAAAGTAAGGAAAATTGGTACTACCCTACGGGGGCAGTTAAAATCAACGAATCCCTTGGTTAAGCCGTAAGCTTCGTAAGCACACTACAATCCGTCAAATAACGGGTGATAGATAGCTATTTACAACATTGGGGCGTTGGGTTTCCTAAAAATGGAATTTTGCTCTTTATACGTCTAATTTAACAATACATATTTTTTTGTAACATACATACTGCCGTTGACACCAAAAAAATTCCCTTGTGCAAAGACCCGATTTTTCAGGAGATACGAAACTATAACTATAATATATGTATTGTAGGTAACACAAACGATATTTTATTTATTCTACAATGAAGATAGCATATAGGAGATTCTATCATAATATAGCTTATTTATTTTTTGAACCAGGGTTACCAAAACCTCAAAATAAAAAATTTGGCACGTAACAGGTTTTCTTTATGTCAGTGGTGATACCTACCAAGAAGCCAAATGAAAATGCGTCTCAGTATTAAACAGAATAGATTAAAGCAGAAGGGACACATCGAATGTCAACAAAAACGTGGTGGCCATCTTCTCATTTCATATAATACTCACGTGAGATATAAATATAATATGCGTCCTAGAATTCCTAGAAAAATATATGCACATTTCCATTAAAAAGCAAAAAAAAAAATCAGTTTCTAACATAACTCAATAAGGTAACTGAAGAATTCGTATCTCTTCACAAAGCAAATATTAAACATTAACCATAAGAAAAGGTTAATGATATTTTTATTATTGTAGCAAAAAAAAAAATCCCTTTTAACATTTTGATTTTACATCTTTTTTCAGCGCTTTTCAACAATTAATAACACTATGACCTATTAGAATATATTATTTTCAAATAACAATATTAACTTTGTTTCAATTACACTCTTTAAGTTCATTTTATTTACTTTGTTTCAATTGGTTAGACGTTGTTCTATTTTGTGACGTTTGGTTGTTTATTAGCACACAGTTGTCACTCGATATTTAATTCAATTACTGTTCGGGTTCAATATATGTAATGGCGACGACAATACTAAACACAACTAAAATCTAATCGCCATTTAGTTTCCCATGGACGTTTTTACAAAGTTTTCGGGGAGAGTGGGAGAAGGAAGGAGGTCGTAGAACTATGATATTGTCGTTCGCTCTACGGGTAAAATAATAAGATCTGGTATACATTTTTCCAAGCATTATATTATACTCGATGTATATACCCAAACCCAATATAGCGAGGGAGCAAAATCGCATTCGCCTAATCCAACACCCGCTGTGCAATACCAACGCCGCTGGACACAATGGATTTACCGAGTATAGTTTTCCAATGTATTTTATTTCCACCCGTCCTGCCACTGTGCTTGGGAAATAAAAGAGGACAATATATAATATATTTAAATACAAAACCAATATTTTACAAATACTATTACACTAACGACTAGTGATAGACGGGAGGTGAGGTTGTCAAAAAAACGTACCCGACATAGATTTTCATATGAAACTAATATAGGTCTTTTTTACAGTAAGATATTTTACGACAAAATTATTTTTTATATCTTGGAAAAAACTCGTTGAAATAATATTATCTATCGATACATTTTTGTACGCCTATAAATTGCCTACCTACGAATAACCAATGGGAGAAATTACGATAGCAATATTGTTATGATAATAATTGATTGAAACCCAATATTGGATTTGTGTGATAATATGTTCCTAACCAAGTTTTATGTAATATTTGGTTGGATATAAATTTTGAAGATTTTTATTTAAATCTTTACAATTTTTTTAAAACAAACCACTAACAAGTAAATTTACTATGTGATTAACTTCAGTTGAATGTTTTTTTTTAAATTAAGAGGCACCCAGAACTCAACAAAAACATAATATTATATTTTACATGAAATACACATTTTATGAAATGAAATAAACATGAAACACTATTATGTTTAACAATATTATGACAACACTAAAATACATGGTGCATTTTATGCACATTTAGGTAACTTAAAAGGTACTTACATTATTTTAAATTTTAAATGAGTTATTATAATTTGTTAAAAAGTATTGTTGATCCAAAGCATTTTAAAAATTTCATAATAAAACATTTTTGATGAAATAGTCATGAGAATGGTCAATTATCCATTACAAATAAAGATAATTAATGAACAATGACAATCATTATTGTCTACTTATCATTAACATTTGCATATAGTGTCTGGTTAATTAGTGTGTAATTAAATTTATTATTAAATGTATTCTACTTCATATATAGCGTATTGAAATTAAAATTTGCAAAATAAAACCATTACCTGTATTGTATAGTCTTGTTACTTCGACGACGGTTTGAAATTTGTAAAGTGAATGACGTATATCTTCATCGGGTATGTCTTCGGGAACTTCATAAACTAGTACTGAAAAGGTTTTTTGCGGTCGACATGGAATAGGAATCTAAAACAACCATTTAAAATTCTTGTGAAATTATTCATAAAAAAACATACATGTGATTATACAGCTAAACACTAAAAAATGTAAAAAATATATAAGGTAATGTGGATGTTATTTCAAATAATTAAGCTTGTATGAAATATTATGATATAAAACTAAACAATAGCGGTAAAGAAGTATAAACTAATAACATAACATTTTTGTATGTGGTAAGTTCTTAGTTCCTTTGCTGTATATGGATCTACAGAATACATATGATACCGAAATTGATGTGCTATAGCCTGTAGATTTAACAAATCAGGCTTTATGCTATAACAGTTTTAGCATAAAGCATATATAAAAACTTTTTTATAAAACAAAATTATGTCTTTATTACTCGTACTATGGTTAATTTTTTAAATAAGTACTCTTAGGACGCGGGAACTTTGTGAACCCTTTTCTAATAAAGATCCAATGGTACGGTATAAGCGTAAAATAACTCTTTACAGCTGAACAGGCAAAGAAGGCGGTGTTGGCATTAGATTGGAGGTGAAAGCGGAAAGGAAGTAACGGCGTATTTTAAAATAATAAGCTTCTGTATTTGGTTGAGTGTGTTGGGGGGGGGGGGAGGACGCAAAAGAAATACAAACAAAATGACAGGGTAAAAGTGTGCGATAAGGCGAAGTGGTGGGGGAATATCAGAGTAGGTATTCTCCAAAGCTGAGGACGATATCATACACTGCTATTAATCATTTCCCCACAATAATCCCACGGCATATTTATATATTTCCATGACCGCCGCGACACCGTGTCGTGTATTTAGTAATAACAATTTGTCATTTTCAAATATTTCCGTTTTTACGTTCCATAATAATATTTTCTACACTGCTTTGTTCTAGACGAGGTATACCACGAGCTTAGTTTAATTATTAATTCGTTTTCTCTGAGGTGAAACATAGTTATTATATCATTCATCCGTTCACGCGTTCCTTATAATTACTTAATTCGCCATCAAAAACAGCATATTTAATTTTATTCAAAGTCTATCCCTCAAAAAATACTGGTATAAATATAATTATTTTACCACTGTAAAATGGCGCTTTTTATATTTTAAACAGTATATTTTCACGAACATACTACATTGTAATTTAGTACATCTTAAGTTTTGTGTTTGCTGTGTGTGTGTGTACTAAGTAAATCTTTACTATAGCTAAATCCAGAGTGTGTCACTAGCAGATGCTAGTTAGCAGAAACAGCGAACGCGACCATTATCCACACCGTATTTTAAATAAATAATACACAAGACGAGATGTAAATAAATGAGAAAACTTAAGTGTTACTAATTGTCTTTACTCTTTATCATGGGACTGTGCGGCGATGACACGAGATGGAACGGTATGGTGGTGGCAGAGAGCTCGTTAATTAGCAAAACCTATGGCAAACAACACCAAACAATACAACAGCGGTGGTGTTAGTGGCAACAAACGTGGTGAAATATCAATACAGTATGACCCAGAATGGTGCAGTACTCGTCAGCAAAAGCAGAAGCACGCAGACTGGGAAAGTAGAAGCAATTTCTCAGTCGATAAAATCAATGTTTTCAAATGCTACTGTTTCGTTTTGCATAGTTTCCAAACCGTCTTTAACACGAACCAATTTAAAGAAGAAATCGACCGAAAATTAATGCATGTGTATATTTAGTCCACATAATATTGGAGAGGAGTAAAAATGTGGCCAAATTTAAACGTTCCAATATCTATTTTACGCTATAGTGTGTTGAAGTACCTATAGTTTTATCTACAAACCCAATGATTTTTAATTTGTTAGTTATAATTATATGATTTTTACTACGGACGGAGTGTACATAAATCTAATATTATTATTAATTTAATTAATTTTGTTTTTAAAACATTTATAGTGAACCTTTCAGTTACTATAATAAGTTTGGCATGACTTTCCAATTAATTTTATTGTTCCGGCTACCGTGTTTTACTCGTTATTATTTATTTTATTTAAATAAGGACACATTTTATACTCGAAATAAAATTGTGTATGTCAAATACACACAAATATTCAACGTCGAGAATATTCTTTTGGAATATTCGTGATCCTGTTAGAAGTTGATGACGTTTACCTCGAATATTAATAACGTATACAGACCACTACATCAGAACACAACCGCTTTTTAGAGATTAAAAGTTCCGAAAAGTAAATTAAAAATTATCGCTGTGAACTTATTAACGCTGTTGAATAATGTTTATATATAAACGTAAATTTTTACGGGTTAAAACAGATAAAACTACTACTACTAATTAAGTAAACGAAGTTTAGTTTGGAAACTCAATTTGTCAGTTTAAGAGAACCCGCTAATCGTTAATGAGAAGTTTCCGAGAAGAGTATGTATGTATATATTAGCTATACGACATAAATTATAATTATTTTTTGAAAAATGAATATTGAAAAAAAAAACTCAACCATTCTCGTTAATGACCTAATACTATTCGAATAAAATATTTTATCTTCATTCCCGTTATACACACTAATACAACCAAATTTGTCGATAAAGGAAACTACAATAAAATAATCATCTGCGATGAAACAATAACTAAAAAGTCATTTAAAAAAAAACTACGCATTACGCATATATTTCATAAACGATTTCATAATCACAATGGCAACAACAAACTGTCTCTAAAACATAGGTTGAAATTCAATACTTTCATTCTATGCAGTCATATAGGTCTTTAAACAAAAAAAAACGAGATAATTATTAGCTTACCAAAAGGCAAAAACCCTGTCAGGTATCTACTATTAATTTTCATCATGATACCTCTATGAAAGCATATTCACTTTGTCTAGAAGTTCCTATTTTTATTTGACTAAATAATATCTATGGGAAAAACTAATATAGTTGTCCATTATAACTACCTATAAGCACCTGGTGTGTAGATGTTGATTACTAATAGAATAATTAGCACCTAGCATAACAATAGGAGAATCTACCCAAGCATATTTGGTTAAAACAGTAAGTTTATATATTTTATGAAAAAGATAATTAACTATATTTATTGGGATATAAACCTACGTAAGTGCTATTACTAAAAGTTATATTTTTGAGTTTTTATTCCTATACACTTTACCCGTGACACTAATGTCTTGTAAAAATGGCGTAGTTTAATTTTAAAATAAGGTATACCGAAATTAATTAAGTAACATAAAAGTAGGTAGTATTGTAAATCTAGTGTAGATAAGCTAATAATATAATATGTGTAATAAATAATAAACATTAGACTATAATATGTTGATTTGATATTAAAATGTTAATTGAACAAAGTAAAAACGTCTCGTCAAACAAATAATAGTTAAATTATTATCATATTTAGAGCAGCGAAGAAACGTTATATAAGTAACGGCAATTATTCTAAATATGCAATTCCGATGGACGGCACTTAATTATTAAACATATAAAATACAAACTACAAGTCTGATTATGGGGAAAAGGCATTTGCTACTACAGTCAGAATATATGACTGTTAAGTGCTGTTGCAAAATTAGCTTTATTCAAAATCATTTGACAAAAACGTGCAAAGAATTTCCTAGAACTGTATTATAATTTCAATAAAAACAGTAATGTCTGCACTATGCGATTTTCAATTAAAACGTTTTATGTTGTATTTATATTGTAATTCAGTCCATACTTGTTCACTTATATATTCTATAGTATTATTTGATACAAACGAATGTTATCCCTAATCATATGAATAACATATTACACGTATTTATGAACTTTATGCAAATAGGATCCTAGTGTTTTGACATTTTTTTATATATAGTTTCTGTGTAGTGCACACTATAATGCATAGTGAGTTATATGAACCTATTATTTCATTATTTAAAACGATACATTTTATGTAAACACTATTACATTTTATTTTAATTAGATGACAATTGTTATTATTTTATATGATTCGATTATTTTCAACTTCTGTAGAATTTGATACAAAGTTCACAATTTGGTACGTAGGCAAAGATATGATTGTTTTTCTAATACTTGGGTCGATCCAAACTATTGAAAAAAAGTATATTTACATTATATATAATAGCTCGATTAAATATTACATTATCTTACGCAATAATCATAGTTAGTCTACGAAGCTTGGAAAACTTGTTCACCAGTCAATATTGTAAGATTATTTTAATGAAACTATACTCGTCACGCTTAATACTTAGTAAGGGTGATCAACCTTAAAGACAACATAATATTATATTCTTTAAAAACCATTATTTAAGGTATAATATAAAACAAAAAGCGGTGACGAATAACGTTACCTATAAAGTGTTTTCGAGAATTAAATATATTTGTCCCGACTGCGCTAGTAGAAATTGTGAGCAGTAATCGCTATAAGTAAAATATTAATATAATTTCAAAAGCGGTCACTACAGCCATGTAGTATAAACTATGTATGAATTTGTTAACGTTTATTTCGTAGTTTACGACATGATAAAAAACTCCTCCCCATAAGTCATAAAAAATCTTCAAATCGTCTTGTACTCCTCCTTAAAAATGTATGGTGGATATAGTCGGTTCAATTGTTTTTTGGTTCTGATTAATGTTAAAATTTGATGACAATTACAAAAAAATATTTCGGTTAGGTCGTGGCGCCAAAATTTGTATTTTCTGGTGGGTTCCAAGACTAGGGCTAGACACATAACAGTGAGTCATCCATGGCGTGTCTATTTTTTTTACTAAACGATAAAATTCGTATAAAGGTTTTAATGCGAAAATGTAACGGTAATGCGCTTTCCGTAATAAAGACTGCCATTGGGGTTTCATCAAGCTATTGATTTGCCATTTCATGTAACCACCAATGGTACATTTTTGCATTTTTTACAAGAGAACTACACGCCATTAACGCGACAACGGGGTAAATTTACGGAAAAAACGAGGTCACTTCTCGACCGTGTCAACATTCAGCTGTAGAATAAGCACACAAGGTAAAGATGCAGATTAAATCAATTATATAATAGTATGTTCAAATTTCGGGAAAGCATTCCCATAAACATATAACTGTCATTACAAATAGATAAAAACATCCAAAGACATGGCAGAAACACTTTAAAATCTTTGTGCGTTTCGTCTCAATATTTTGAGAACTGGTTTTCAACTAATGTCGAATTTACAGGCCGACTTCTTTACGAATATGATTCGCATCTACCCCAATCACCGAGGGCGATATTACTGTTTAACTTCAAAACTAGATAAGAAGCCTAACTGAGCACACATGGTGTGAAGAAGCCACCTGCAATGAAGTGGCTTCTTGTTCGTAGCTCCAATAAGTAAAATAAAAAAGAGTGAAACAAAATTAACATTCATATTATTATTTTACAAACGTAAAGAAACAAATAAAACGAGAAAAATCTTTTTTTAGCCTATTATAGAGAAACATTATTGTTTAAATCTATTGATTTAAGAGGATTAATGATACAACTGTTTTGAAATTTCATCCAGCAAAGTAGGTTTTTCGAATTGCCGAAGTGAAACAAAAAGTTTCACTTGTACATCAGCACTCAATAAACGCATCGGTGTTTAAATATCCGTTGGTTAAATTGATGTGTGTAGACGACAACTCCTATGTTGTTAGGTATTTAACATTAAACGTTTTAACAAAAAATTTACATACTTGATGTACATAATTGTTTTTTTTATTTATCCATTATCGAAACTTAAATTTATATGTAATTATTTGCTAATTAGTAAGCAAGTATATATGTATGTCATTTTAAAACTGTAAACTAAACAATGAGGTATAATCCATTTTACCCAGAATTTTGATTTATTTTTTACACATAGCTGTTTGTTTTTTTTTAATTTGTTTTCACATTATTTCCAGTAACTTTCTTTAAAAACAAAATTATCAGAATGCTTTCAGTTTAAGCGGCCACTCTAAAATATGCATCAAATTAATCGGGGACTCGGAAACGACCTAAAAGCCTTTCAGCGTCTTTCTGCATGTATAATATATGGTTATATTAAATCCAAGCAAAAAGTTTTTAACGTTCTAACTTCCCAGACCGTTTTATTTTGTTAAAATTTGTGTCTATGAGAAAATTCTGTACTAGAATATAAAAATAGTTCTGATGCTGTGGCAGTTTTTATTATAAACACACACATATATACATTAAAAGAAATTACAACATGTAAACTTTATGTTAGGTTAAAAAATACCGTGAATAAATAAGAAGATACTCATTTTTTATTTAAATTGCAATTGTATAGTTTTTCTTCAGAATACATAATTTCTAAGTAAATATGTGTTTAAATTATTTATTTTTGTACTAATATAATGTATTATGAAAAAACGGTGGAGTGTGACTATACAGTGGAACCAGTAAAAAAGTAACATAATAATAAAATATATTTTTGTCATTTCATTCACAGTTTTTGTTTAAAGTAATACTTTTTATATAAGCCTACGCCTAAAATCACCGGAAAGGTCCTACCCATTCGCTATAAAACGGTTCTATTAAAGTAAATTGCGGCGATCAAGTGGTTAGTGAGGTGTTAATAAAATAAAATGGTTTAATACATTTATAAACATAATATAAAAACTAAGAGTTCGATAATAATAATTTAAATAAACTGTCATTACAAAATAATTACAATTAATATTATCATAAAAATCAAAAACAAAACAAATCTGTAATATATTGGCTTGATTTAATATTAGTACAAATCATTGTGCTTTAAGGAATAATTTTCGAGAAAAATCGTTATAATGTATAACATTTCTAATTTAATTAATTATATTTAGGTAAAATATATGATATAAACTATCCTTCCTGTAATAATTACGGATGTAATAGAAGCCGACAATGAAGACAATTTATGAAATAATATAAAGAATAATTGAAATGAGCTTGGAACTTTTTTTCTTATTACTTGTTCTTAATTTGTATTGCAAAGTTATGTATTCGTTGCGTGTACACAAAAATGTACTTAAAACTAATATTTCTAAGTTATTATTATTGTACAGTATAAACTTGACGTTATGACTACCAAAACTTCGAGTAATGCCTAGTAGATTCTTTTTAAAAGGTAATTTAGCAACGTACAAGATCGTCGTTATTTTTTTAATTTTCTTCTTCTGAAAAATAAAAGAATATGAAAACCTATCATATTTTAATAAGGTCATGTTAGGGGGGAGGGGGGGAAATAAAAAATCATTAGTAAAATGGTTTACGAGACCATTATTATAAATTAAAATCAGTATGGCTAATATTTACGTGGTCTAATTGTATTTTATATAAACACGCTGAAAGCACATAAAACCGACTGGACAGCGCGAAAACAATGAATTTTATTTTTGAAATCCTGATAACACAATTAATAAATCATGCAATGCAATTAGCGCGGTTTCCATTTTCCCCATTTTCTATCTGATTACATTTTAACGTTATTTAAGTGTACAACAAGGTAGTGCTGTGTTTATCAAAATAACTGCTTGGGCTACTTATTTGTCATTTTTTTCGTCTGGTTCCAAATCAAATAGTAGCCTATTATATAATATATATATATATATATATATATGTATTTTTGTATATAAAACATATTATTATTACATAGCATTTCTATGATTGCAATAGGCTAGTAAATAGATTGCTGGTAACACTACTATAAGTCATTTGTATTTTGTAAAGTTATAATTCAACTCGGCTTTTTAGCCGAGTTTTTAGCTTTAAAACATTATTTAAAATTATTTTTAATTGGTTATTTCACATGTGATAACAGCAATGCTTATAATTAAAACAGTAAATTATCAAATATAATAGTTATGTAATTGTGTAATATGTAAAAGTAGAGTAGTATCTAAAAATAGAGTAATTAAAAAAATGTTATTGTATGCTGATACATTTAAAAATAATAAAAAAGATTTTTAATAAAACATTACATAATCAGTAATCAATATAACAATGTGAAAAAATAATAAATTATTAGAGGCGGATTTTGAACCGGGACAATTTTTTTATTTCTTTACATATCAAACATTCACTAGCAATTCGCCAGAACATTTCAATTGTGCAAAAACTATATAAACTATAAGCAAATAACTGTTAAGCATTTAATTATTTTTTAATTAGTATTTTACCAAACACGTATTTAACAAATCGTTATGGAAACATTTCAACCTCGAAATGACTAGATAATATTTTAAGCCAAATTATTCTAAAATTTGATAGTACAAAAATGTACACATTGTTAGTAACTACAGTTTATTTTGTATGCATGCAGTGTTTATTGATGGATTTGTCAGACAATAACGTTAAAGGTAACAATCTATCATGGTTATAATTTTTGTTGAACGAAAATCTTGTAAGATTCGTTCCAATTATCATACTTTATTAATGCCATCTCACATTTTAAGTACAGATTTTTATACAGATCAATTAAAGATAAACATCGTCCATCACAATGTATTGGTTTGGCGCTCCTTTTTTGGATTGTTAGAAGTTTTAACAATGTGAGATCTAGACGCGGGTCAAGCGTCGTTGACTATTGTTACAGAAGGGATTAATATTTTATATTAACTATTCTATCACTTCTGGCCTTACCTAGACGACGTATAAGTAATCGCCGTCGATTGTACGACGCCTGGGCGGGGTTTTCTTTAGATTATTATTAAACAAACTGTGATCTCTCACCTTCTTGTAGAATCTAAAGTTGGTCACTTTGTGGAAACCCTTGCGGAAAGTCGCCCGATAGTCGTCCTGGTCGGCGAACTTGAACAGTATGCCCGTGGCGGTTTTTGTCACAGAGTACGGTCCGCGGTAGTTCATCTTCTCGCAGATGGCCGTTGCTTTCTCCAGGTTAAGTTCGTTGCTTGGCGTTATCAGAAATGCTCCTTTGGCCAGGAAATGACCTGCGTCCGACAGCTCGGACGAACCGTCGTCGTCGTCGTCGTGCATTTCCGACCGACGATGCGACCTATAGCTGTACACGATCTTCTCCATCGGAGACGAAGGCTTTGGAAGCTCTTGCTGCTGGTGCGCGTTACCTCCCATCGACGTGACATTGGCACCGGTCGAGCTTATCATATTGACGGTACACAATTCGTGTATTAACAAAATTATAATATATTACAAGTCAATACCGTGTTTAAAACCACGAGAGCACACCGTACGCGAATCGTTTAACGTTTAACACTGCAGTGGATCGCTATATGGAACGATCATATAAACAATGGGTGTTCGTGATACGGTTTTCACGGCCAATATGTGTGTACAAACGACATCGCAGGTGTGGCCGGCGCTTAATAAACCTATTAAAAACAAAAGACGAAAAAACGAAAACAAAAGCAAAACTGTAATGTACATATAGATGGGCGTGCGACGCTGTTCAATTGGTCTCCTCGGCTTCCTCGAACGGAAGATGCCAATTCGGGGGATTATAATTGAAAAAAGGAGTGTATATCGATAAACGGCCGCAATTACTACGGTAGTTATATAAACCCGAGACGCGAGGTCGCGACATATTACATTAGTATTATGATTATTACTGTATGGTATACATATACACTGTGTTATTTGCCGTTCGATATTGCCGGCGGCACGGCAGTATAGTGTTTCTTTATTTGTTTTGCGCCTTTTATCGTTATTATCCGTTAAAAGCCAACTCCAGCCGTCTGGATGTTTAAAGTATTGCCAATGTAAATTAAATAAACTTTCGACGAAAGACCATAACAGTATACTGCGGACGTTGTTTTTACTGCGTTTCCCGATAACACTATATACATTTCTTTCATTTGATTCGTTTAGTCGGATATTGTACAATATTTACAACTGTTTAGATTATTAATCGATCCGATAGTTATATTTTTATCATTCAATAGCAGTCTTACTTATGTATTATTGATTTTTATTACTCAGAGGAGAAGCTACAGATTCCTGGAAAATTTGTGACTAAGCCGATTCGAATTTATTTCTAAAATTTTACTAGAATGTTTGTTCAATTGACTAGATGAACTGATGACAATTTGATTATGACTTCTTGACGGGAATTCTTTTATTTTTCTCGCGATCATCGATCGTAGACTTCTGAAATTTGCACAGATAACTGTGGTTAGCTGCACTCGTGAAGGTTTTCTCGTGATTCCATTTCTTGTAGAACTCAATTTTGAGGAAGTTATGTGTCAATGATTTGGCAGCGGCTTTTACAGTTTTTGTTTTAATTCATCGCCACCTTTGTTTTAATCGTTCAAATACATTTATGATAATAAATGACAACATGCCTACTAAAAAAAACCATTAAAAAAAATAATCGAAATTCTTTCTTTTTTATTATTAGTATGTTTTCTACCTCTTCATATTGTTACAAAACATTAATTTTTATTATTACAAAAATACTTTAAAATCCCAAAACGCTTCTTCTGAAAGGAAATAATTGTAATAGATTTAAATGCTTTAACGGATATCAAAAAGTTTCGAAAGTATACTATAGTCAAAAGGACCTAAAATGTTTTTATATGGTAACGTTCTTTCACTATTATAGTTTATTTTGTCTATTTAGATAAAGATATTATATAATCATAGTTTTTTTTTTATAAAGCTAATTATGGACTAGTAAAACAAAATATTTTGTCCAACTAAACAATGTATTATAACTCGTGTTAAAATAATACAATATACCTAATCATGGAAAATCATTATTATAATGGTTTTATTTTTTTTATTGTTACTAATTATTTAAAACTTCCACTGGTATGAAATTACAGTCACATTAAATTGGTTGATAATATGAAATCATATTTTATGAATATATTTTTTAAGGTATCACATAAAAACCAACTCAATTTTAATAACTAGATCTTTATCCAGCTTATACAGTTGAAGAATTCCATAACATAAAACATTTCTGTACCTTTAAATTTAGAAACATTATTTACAATTAACACAGTGAATAGATATTAATAGTAACCTATATCATATGCTATTGACAGATATTGAATACAATAAATAATGTTTTAGAGAAAATGTAGAGTTGCGTTTCATTAACTCTAACCAGAAGTGTCAGATATACTACTGATATTTTTCTTCAAGTTTTTTGTGCGTATTTTTCAATTAACTTATTCTCAATATGTTAAATCAAGTATACAGTAAAAAAAAAATGTTATTTCATTATTTAAATTTTTCAGTTTTTTGTTGTAGTATTTTCTTTGAATGTTTGCTGCCGGTTTTTTTTTATACAGGTATACGAAACGTGCGGTAACCACGTTCAAGACGAATTATACGATCATTTGGTGTTCCAAAAAATCTAATTTACAGTACAAGTTGAGACGGAGAAGGAAAAAAATAATGTTTACTTACGAGTAATATTTTGCCTCGCTTTGGACAGCTGAAATGACGGCAAGTGCTCTTCCATTGCAAACTTTTTCCTTTTCTTAGATATTTTTTGCAATTCCCATTGGACTAATTTTCGCTTCAGACAGTAATTACTCGAGCAGCGTTTAGTTTACAGGTTTCTTAGCAGACAGTTTCTCTCAAAATCTTTTTTTTCTCACCGTCCCGCATCTTTTTACCGGTAAGCCGTATGGGGGTAGTGGACGCGGTGCAAAACGAAAATGTCTCTCACAAGAGAATTTAAAAATAATTAATTGCCCTCGGGGTTTGCATGTTTTGCGCACACTATGACCACCGAGTGTTTCCTTAGTAATGAACAATTTTAACTACACTTATTCTTCTTTATTCTTCATAATTACGGAGTTGTGCACGAGCAGTAAACCCTTGTACCAGCTATTGCTACAAATCACAACACTATCAACTATATTGAGGTAAATTAATAAATAACCATCCTCTCATCCATCAATAAAATGGATAATTATGCTATTTTAAAATGTGTGACATTCTTAATAAAGTAGTTAACCTAAATACATATTTCGATTTTAATTTAGTTTCTATACAGTACAATAACCGCTTTCATAAACTCCCAACAATACTGGCTTTTTTGTAGGAAAGACCCATATAAAGACGTTTGAATAATGGATATTACTTATTTGGATAAGTATACTTCGGCGTTATCAGTAATATGCGCATCTAAAAATGTTCAAACTAATGGCAACTAGCGGAATTTCTGTGCAGGTTCGTAGTCAGCATAAAAAGTACTATCGATTAAAAAAAAGTAAAAGAAAAGAGTAAGTTTGTTTCAAAATAAAAATAATTTAACAAAGCAAACTATTATTTAAAACTTAATTTTAATTAAAATATTTGAAAGATTGTTACACCATTTCATATAATAATGTGAACCAATGACCTATTTAAGATTAATATTTGCAGTAATAATATTATACACATTTTGTAAAAATTCTCTTAAAACCTAGTTAACATGCTAATACAATTTTATAAGGATCTCTCTATGTAATTATTTTTTTTATAGTACTAATTAAACAAAATTCATATATTTCTGTTATTTATTTTTTTTTGATGTAGACGCCCATACATAAATATTAATGTGCATACACATAAATATAGATACATTTCATACACCTAAACATGGATTTACTATAACGTATAGCTCTTACCGTTAATAAATCATGCCTTGGGCCGAGCTTGCAGGGCTTATCCGAATTCCTAAGATTTACGGTTGCCCAAAGGTAACCATTCTAACTCGTGTTATTATGCCATCCTGGATGTTAATTACCTTACCAAGCTGTCGGTATATTAAAACGTGATATATTGCGAAATGAAATTAGCAACCAAACAACTGACCCTCTTTTTGTAATTTTGCTACGTGTATTGGAAATACTCAATTTTAATTAAAGTATGTTTCATTAAAGTTTCCGCTCAAAATACAATTATTCGAAGGTTCTCCTTTTTTTAATAACGTTGTTTAGTATTAAAAAGAGCAATCAAACAAACAACGATTTAAAAATAATACTTAAACATTATAGAATCTGACAATGGAAAGATTATAGTTTGTTTTTTAGGACAATATTCATTCGATGAATAAAGTTTCCCTGTTCTTGAAATTCAAAATTATTTTTGGAATATTGAATCTTAATACTTTTTTAAAACTTTTTTAAGTGTTGAATATTTTATGACTGTTAAAAAAATAGACTAACAGGTAGACATCAAATTTGTATATAAATAATTATTTCAAAAAATACTTTTTTAGTACTATAGTTATTATTGTTAAACTCATGGTGATAAAATGATTAATAAAATCAAAAATATTTATTTCTAACAGACACTTTCACCCATTATGCTTTATTTATAGTATATATTTGATTTCTACAATTAAAAAAGTGTTCGCGGGTTAACAATATTTATTAAATAATAGATTAGAGTAATAATATTGTACAAATGATAAAATAAATTATTATGTGGCGATGACAACGGCGGCAATGCAGTGGTCTAGACAGACAGTCATTATTTTAATCGAATGAACGATTCCAGTGTTGTGCGCGAAACGTAAATTGCAAAACACCGTAAAAGAATTTAAGAGAGGCAAAAGAGACCGGGATCGGAATGAAATAAAAATAAATATAATTATAATAATAAAAAGGCGTGACAGCCGGCGGTTGAGTGTGGGACGCCAGAAAAAGAAGCTGTAGGGCGAGTGTAGTGTACGATGTGTGCTAGTATAAAACGAGGCGAGACCATAAATTCTGGTAACAATATGGCTCGTTTATAGCTGCTGCGTGGCCAACTCGCTACTGCTGCTTCTGCTGTCTGTACATGTGAGTGGGGTGACGGTCGGGGCAGAAGGAAACGAGGAAGCCTGCCGGAGCCGCACGGGGGAGGTACGAAGAGGATACAAAATTTATATCGGTTTCACCGTATACTAGCTCCCTTTTTGCTCGGTGCTCCATCGTAGGTGTTCTGCCTGCGCGTACCCGGGGCAGACAACACGGCACTAGATCCCTGACTGTGGGTCCTCGACTCTATTACCGAATGGGCTACAGCCGATATAGCAAACTGTATATATATATGTATATAAATGGATAATAATAATTACATTCGCCGACGGTGTGCGGCGGCAACGGTAATAATAATAATAATGATAATAACAGCCGACAAGTCGTGTAATGGGTCTGGCGAATGTGCTACCGCGGGTGGTGTCTACCCCGATGCCAGCTCTACGGGGGCTTATAGTGATCAAAACCGCACACGGCGTTATTCTATAGTCCAACGACA